TTCTTCAAATCCGAATGAGATTCTATTATTTCAAGAGATTTTACGAATATACGGTATTGTTCAAGTTACTCGTTTTAGTTTTAGATATCTCCGATATCGCTCATCACAAATACCAAGTACTTGAGGAATGTCTGTTCTACAAACTAACTAAGGATGCTGATCAAATGCAGGGTTAGTTTTTCCCTCTTATCAACCCAAAATGACTACCATAACCCTAGCCTTATCTTCAGGAAAAAGTAACTCGCTTATGCTCTTGCCTCCCACCGTAGCCGCTGGGGAGACGCTGGACGTGCAGGTGCTTCATGCCGGTGTACGACAGATGTGGATGGTTCGTTGACGTCACACGTCTCCCACCTGCAATCGAGTCAATATTGTCCTATTTCAGAACGAGGTCTTCAAAGAAATGAACATCAACGGCTACTTGAAGCTGGTAAGAGCTTTGGGTTCTGTTGTTGTGATGATTCTGGTTCTATCGTAAGCACAACTGCCAGGGATTTTCTTTAAATAGTATCACGACTCGTGCACTAACAACATCCACCAAGGGACCGGAGTGGGTGTGTGTGTGGGAGGGTTGGCGCGATAGGAGAGGGGTGTGAGGCGAATAAAGTGGACAGCAAACAAACAAACACACACGGAGACGACCAGAGAAGCAGAGAGTGGACACACGAGTTGCTAAGGAGCTGAGTACACAATTCGCCATTCACTGACCGCAAGAAAAAACCCACGACAACGACGATGCACAAAGACAACCGGGGAGGGGAAGAAGACCGTGCGCGGCGCAGGTTTGCTGACCGGTCATCGCGGCCATTACCAGAACGCATGACGATCCAGTAGGTATTTAACCTGCTAGTCTCAAAAAAAGAAAGCTTCTGGTCTGATTACAAGAAGAAAAAAGCTTTCGACATTGAGCAGTTCCATTCAGGATGCGCCATGCATCCTACTTTGAATGCAAAGTCGTGGTGGAATTCGGAGATGGTCGGTCGTTACCATGAACTGTTCTGCAAGCCAACATTTTATCGCGTTGACTGATGCCGGACGCCACAGTAAATAGTAATAATTATTCGATGAAGTGATTGTGCACGTGCATAAGATGACCGAATCAGTTTCGAGATTGACCCGCTGAAGGAGGCTTGTTAGTTCGTTTCCTGAGATTTACTGAGAGATTTTCTTGTCCTTTGTAGACTTATCGGGAAGCCTGCTGATAGTGAATCCTGTCAGTTCTGATTGCCGCATGTGTCCGTTCTTGAACCCGCGTAATGGTGACCGGAGATATGTTTGGGATCAAGTGACTTTTGTCTTTTTTAGACCAAAACGGAGTCGAGAGGTAACTGTCCAATATCTGGCATGAATTACAGAGAATCTCAGCGGTTTTTGATGCTTTTTAAAGACGAGCTTTGGTAATTACTTCTGTCCATCCTTCCTCGCCGACCGGTCCCATCACGGCTTTCGTAGAACCAATCAGATTGCGTTGATTTAACGGCTATTTAGAAGTGTTGAGGGTCACCACCTTCAAGAGAGGTTGTTAAGGGGTGAGGGGGGAATCCCATTGTTAATCCTCATTTTTCATTATTCAAATGTGACGATTTACCATACTAATATAAGAACACCATATTAAGGTTCCTCAATTTACTGGAAAACCTCCCCCAGGCTATTTTTCCTGTAGCACAGAAGCCACAAACGTTCCGTGTGAATCCTCTCGAATTACTCTGAATATCATTTTAATACGAAGACAAAGGTACGCTTTGAACGCCTGAATTTCACTGCCAGCTCTTCGGCAGCGCTTCTCTCGCGTAGCACTTGAGATGACCCCCGAAAATTAAGTTAGCGTGAGGACCTTCAGCGTGCTTCAGGTGCCATTACAGCTCCTATCGCCGAGCCATTTTGGCGTCATTACTTCCAATAATTACTGTAGTTGAAGAAGTGCGCAAGGTTCTAAATGGAACCGTGCACAGTAAAAACAGTGCAAGGTAACCGGAAATTATGGGCGAAGTGTGTTGAGTAGCTTTAGGTTTACATAGAGAGCAGGCTCTTCTTTGTTATATATCGGCCCATGGGCATGCGGGCTTCAAAAGATGCTAATTTATTTTTGCTGTAAATGATTACTCAAACTCATCCAAAGGCTTCTTAGCGCCAAATTGCTCCCACGAAATCGCTACCCGACAGTTGGTGCTACTTGTGGCAATCGCTACTACTCTTCCCATACTTCCCGTCCTCTTGTCCATACCATTCTTTGAGCTGATTTCCCACGAGGATGTTTCTATAGAATTTATAGTTGTGTTTTTGTTATTATTGTATTTTACAGTCATGGAAAGATCGGCGACTACGATGGGATGCTTCAGAGTGGAAAACCGACACGCTCAGTATCAAATCGTTTGGACGTCTCTGGGTGCCCGATATCAATTCAGACAAGTGAGCATTTTTCTAGTATCCTTCAAATATCAAAATAGAGGGTTTTCGCCCACATCAGCTTTTGAAATTACTTTATTCGTTTCACTCCAGGAAATAAACAAGATATAGAGCTCGACTGAGTTCTTCTAGAACGCGCCACGCACTCCACACCTATTCGAAATACTCTTCTTCTTCTTCTCCCCTAGCGTTAGTCCCGCTCAGTCGCAGGGTCCGCTACCTATTCGAAATACTAGTAACTTCAAAAGGTGAACTTGGCCCGAATGTCGACTTTTAGCACCCGGGAGGTGCGATAGCCTATTGTGCCCCAAATAAATTTGCTGGTACTAGATGCGATTTTTTCGATTGGCACACAAAACATATTGGATAAAGCCGTTCACCTTCTTGCATTGCAAGAGGCCAAGCCGCAGAGAATTTATTTCATCAGGCAATATCTGAACCAGATGTAGCGTAACAGCAATCTAATCAAAGGCTTCTGCCTTGGTTTTTTTTTTCTCTCCTGCCAAGTGCAAGGACACTAACAACACTGAAACATGAATATTCTGTACTGTTCGTACTCTCTGAAAAGACCATTTTCGCACGTAGTGAATTTATCCGTATAGGGCCCCCGTTTCTTGAACCACGCGAATGCGACAGTAATTCCAGTTAATAGCTGGCGAACATGTCGCTGAAGATTTCACAACTTTGGAGTTGACCGAATGTGTTCCGGGTGGCGTGACGTGCGCAGTTTCGCATCAGAAGACCGGACACAGA